CGGTGATGTAATTTAGTCATTTTTCTACTATTAGTTGGTTGTTTATCCGTTGCTAATGTAAAAAATGTAATTTTTTTCATTTGTTATTAATGTTATTAATATTTAATTATAGTACCAAAAAACTAAAAATGAAATTATAACATGAAATATTATTGTGTAAAAAAAAACAGAGCTAACATTGATTGGATTATAAAGAGAATTTTTCTTTTTAATAATTGTATTTTCTCTTGCCATAATAAGCTTAATTTAGCCACATATAAATGTGATACAACATTTCATCACTTTTTATATATTTTTATATCTCTCCACCTTGATTCCATGTAATAACTTGTAAGAGCATTTTATAATAAAAGCTACCAATTATTCTAAATCAACATCATTAATTCAAGAATTAAAATGACCAATTGTTGTCAATAGATGACAATCAAATACAGTAATAACTAGCTACTTCATTAACACTAGCAAACCTTTTATCAAGACTATAAGCTCAAGATTTTTCAAACTTCTCTTGGTCGATTACTCATTATAGAGTTTTTAGGAGAGTTGGCAGTTTGAAAGCAATATATAGCATCACTCGCTAGCATTTGCTTTAAATGTATAGCATCATCGAGTATGCCCCGTCTACAATTAAAAAAAAATAGAATATACAAAAAAAAAAAGGAAATTCTAAAAATACACAACTATAAGCATATGATCGTAGTCTCATAGAAGCACAAGAACTAACATGGTCATTATAATTTAAAGAATTGACATAGGCTATTTGAATTAAGCAAACAATTTAAAACAAAATGACCTCGTGCATGGCCCATCGAAATTGGAAACAAAGAATTACAAGTATGAAGGATTCTTCCATTGAACTTTAATGATCGAAGCTATGACATCAATCATTACCGGTAAACATCCTTTGTTTTGCCATGTTGAAATCAAAATCAAAAATACATAAACCGGCAAATGAGACTAATTTAAAATAATAAAATCATATAATAATTAGAAATAAAATATTCATTTTTAATAGCAGAATCGAAGTAGTGAAAAATATAAGATAATAGTTAAATAATTAAAAACTAAAATAAGATACTTTTCCCTTACTTTTAGGAAAGTAACAAAAAACTCAATTTAAAGAGAGAAAAAGAGTTAGGTCTTACTCTATTAATAGTAGAATGAATCTTATCTTAAGAGTTGGAAAAGAGAGAACACATTCCTATTTGTTCTAGTTTAACTACATGATCAATTTATAGTCATACGAGTGATGAAGATAATATTGATTTCTCTTGATCATCCTCAACAACGGCTATTGTTTCATCTTGGAATCCTAACAATGACCTCACTAATGAAACACCAATTAATATGTCGCTACTCGGCTTCTTTAAGTAGTGAAAGAGAGAACTAAAAATACCAAAATAGAAACCCTAATTTATCTTTTATTGTGATCGAATGGAATAATAATTAAACAAAGATATTTTTGTTTGTAAAACTACTTTAACACCGAACGAGGCTCTAGAGGGAAGGGTTTATGCATTTGTTGGGTCGTTTAGTAATTATGCTTTACAATCTAAAACCTTAGATAGTTCTTGGGAGAGATGGATTAGGATTTGGTGGACTTAGCATTAAAGTCCTCATTTTTTACACTGAGAGAGAGAGAGAGAGAGAGAGAGAGAGGAAGCAAGGGTTGCTTGCTAAATATAGGCTTCTTTTAACGATGGATGTAATTTTGTCACTAAAAATTAGTGTTTGTCATTTTCTGAAATTTTAAAATTTTGTCATTTTTAGGAAATTTTAATAGCCGATTTTTAGCGATGGACTCCATTCTCGCCATTATTTTTTTTCTATATATCATTGGCAATGAAATTTTCATAATTGATTTTAGTTCTATCATCTCCTCATGTCATGCCCAAAATTAGCAACGAATTATTTTATTCGTTGTTAATATCTATCACAAATTAGTTGGTAATCTGTCATTGAATTAATCATTAAAAATTTACCTCATAAATCAGCAATGGTTATCTTTAATTATTGAAATTCTATCATTAATTAGTTAGTAATCCATCACTATTTACCCAAAAATGTTGAAAAATTAATAATATCCGTTACTCATTCGTTAATCCATCATTGTATGTCGATAACTTATGTTCGTCATTATTTAATAGTTTTTTTGAAGAGTAGGTTTTTCAATGTCGAATGTTTTTGTGAGAATTACAAGAGAAAAAAGCCCAACTATAAGTCCTCAACATGATGTTAATAAGATAGGTATGAATGACAATGTAAATAAAGGTGTTAGTTTAGGTCAAAAATCTATTAAGGGTGGTGATGAGAGTTGTTTAGTTTATGACTAGAGGTGTTAGTTTAGACAATAATTTACTCGTTGTTAATAAACTAATGGGTAGTTAGATTGATAGAAAATAGGGTTTGGATAATGATCTATATGTGGAGAGTTAGAGTGTGATTGGTAGTGAGTACAATAATGATTCAAGTATTCGAAAGATTATTAGAACATACCGAAGAAAGCAATGAAGAAGTTTAATATATGTAGATAGAGAAACATAGTGGAGATTAAAAGAAAAAACCCATAGTAAAAAAAGAGGTTAGACAAGAAAATGTGCCTATCAATAAAACTAAGATAAATAAGAAAATATAATGAGACCATATTTTGATGAATATGATGAGTTAGATAATTTTATTAGAAGTGACAATTCTAATAATGATTACTTACCCTTAGATAAGGGTGAGTATGAGTTTGGAAATGATGAAGAAGGTAAATGAATCATGAACATGCATATGAGTACCAAAAAAAAATTGAAGAGATAGTAGAAGAATATGAGGGTGATAAAGAGTGGTAGCTCACCGAGGATAAATCTAATGAGCAAGATATATGTAAGAGTGATAGAAGTGATGGAACGGATAAAAAGGAAAAAAGGATTATTAATCTAACTAAAAAGATAACGACCAAAAGGTTAACTTTCAAAGAAGATGGAAATATAGTTTTTGAAGAGTGTATGATTTTTAAGAGTGTCTATACTTTTACGGATATGCAAAAATTGTATAAGGTCAAAGAAAAATATGAATTAAATAAGAAATATAATAGAAAAAACAAGTTTAATGTATAATATGAAGGTATTGGTTACAATTATAGTATTTATACATCTTTATTACTCGATGAGAGGACTTTTATGATGAAAATATTGAAGAAAAAATATAGATGCATAAGACCATAGACCAATAAGGTTGTTAACTCAACATAGATTCTAAAGAGATTGATGACTTTTATTAATAATGATATTGAAATCCCTAATGTAGCATCAAAGATAATATTAGAAACAAATTATAGACTATAACCCAAGTCGATGCGATTATAGAGGGCAAGAAATAACGTTAAGTAAGTTGTTGAGGGTAGTAATGAGAAAACATATAAATTATTGCCAAAACATATTGAGTTATTAAGACGGACTAACCATAGTTCGAGTTGTTTATTTGGGCTATGATCCTATTTTTAATTTTGAAGTTACATCACCTAAGAAGTTTAATAGGATATTTATTTACTTGAAGGTAATGCAAGATGGATTCTCGACTGGGTGTAGAGGATTTATAGAAGTGGATGAGTTTCATCTAAAGGATCCATTTAGAGGAGTTCGTTTTGTAGTTGTGTGTTTTGATACAAACAATGGTCTATTCCTATTGGCTTATCGTTGTTATTTATGTTGAGCATAATGACAATTACAAATAGTTTCTATGAGTTTTATATGATTATATAAACAAAAAATTCAAGACAAAACTTTATGTATTATGTCCGATAGGCAAAGGAATGAATAAACACTATATATATTTTATAATTTTTTTTTATTTACTTAGTTTTATAAAGTGTAACAAAGATTCTGCTAACTTGTTGAACTCTTCCTTGTAAAATTTAATAACTTTTTTAAATTGTGCCAAACATATATATATATATATATATATATGCCAACTTAAAAAAAAAGAAAAAAAAAGAAGAGGATTTGTTAGTTTCGAAATAAAGTTGGGGTTTTGGAGGTAGTAAGGCATATTCTTCAATTCAATTTAAATAGCATATGAAGGCTATTATGGTAGTCAATTCTAAGGCAACTAAGTAGTTGCAAAAATACCTTCTCAAATATGGTCAAGGCATGTATTTGATATGAATGTGAAAAATAATCATATGACCAACAACATGGAAGAATGTTTAAATCATTGGATTAGGAAATTTAAGAGCTTACGTATATTTAGTTTGCCAAAAAATATTAGAATGAAGATAATGCAAAAAGTTTCATACTAGATTTATGAAAGGATCATCTTGGAAGACCAAAACTACATTTATGAGAATGGTTCTTGACAAGGTATTTGGCAAGGCAAGAAATCTAAGAAGAAACCTGCTAGTTTAGATGAATATCAAGTTTATGATGGTGTAAAAAGGATTTGTGTTAACTTTAAGATTTTTTAGTGTTCTTGTGGTGAATAGAGTATGATTGGAATCTCTTGTAAACATGTAGAAGCTTGTTTATCTCATAAAAGAGGTGAATTAGAAGATTATTGTGATTGTTGCTATACAATCCCTAGTTTTCTCAAGACTTATGTTGAAATGATTCACCCATTGCACGAAACAAACCTAGAACCTTAGAAAGGAGAACATGTTATGTTTCCTCGTGTTACGAAGATGGGTATTATAGACTACGAAAGAATAAAAAAAGAACAAGAAAAACAAGCCCCAAACACTACAAAGAAAAGATGAAGCATTATTAAATGCAACATGCATAAATAATTTGGACATAACTCAAGGACTTGTCAAAGAGATATTGATGAAAAAATACAAGAGGTGAGTTAGGCCTTTAAGTATATTTGTTATTGTTGGTTTCAATATAATGCCAATTTTTATTTTATTTTTATTGTTGTATATTTTTGGTTTTTTTTTCTTTGAACACTTTTGACTTGTTCTTTGCTTATTCATATTGAAAGGATGGGTGGTGAAATTAGTGAAGGTTCAAACCTTTAAGATGGTGGAAATAGAGGAGGTAGGGCTGAGGTTAGTCACACAAGAGGCGGTAGGGGTGGTAAGAAAGGAGGCTGGTAGTAAGAAAGGTGGTAGTGGTATTGGTGGCAACTCAAATAAAGATAGCAATAGTGAAACAAGAGTTAGTAATGAAGGCTGCAACGTTCTACATGGTGGAAATAGAGATGGTATTGGTAGAAAAGGTAATAAAAATGATAGGAAATGAGTTGGTTGTAAGAGAGGTGTCAATGGTGTTGGTAGAAGTTGATGACAATAGTGGAAAAAAAAACTAACAATGAAAAAGGTAAAATTAGTGAAGGTTGTAGCCTTGAAAATGGTGGAAATAGAGGTGGCGGGGCTAACGGTGGTAGAAGAGGTGGCATTATAAATGTTGAAATTATTTTTGCTGTAAAAAAGATAATACATATTCGCTTGCATGTAATATTGAATTGTGTGTTGTATTGCCTAAATATTGAAAATAAAAATTTGATAAATTGAGTTTTTTTAAAAAAAAATTGCTTAACGAGAAAATAGAAGAAATGAAACTAGTGGTGGTGGTGCTTGGATGTGGCGACCATTAATTAAGGATTAATACTTATGCTATATATACTATTCTAGGGGTACATATTAGTTTTTTTTCTTATATAGTTAACAACTTCTTTTGGCATATATGATTTTATAATACATTAATTGATATATTATAACCTAAGATACTTACAAGTTTAATTACTATTTTTTGTTTCTTTTGTAAGCGAGTGAGATGGAACACCAATAAGTTAGTGAACTAATTGTGTTAATCATGTATTCACGAGTGTTCTTGTGCATGTTCATTCATATTGTTCTAATCATGCATTAACATTGTTCTTGTGGTGAATGGAGTATGATTGTGTGAATTTTTTTGCATTTAGATTGGTTTTGATTTACCTTTCTTATTGGACGATGTGGATATGTTAGAGATTGTAGGTATGTTAAATAATGTGGATAAGCTTTCTTTTTTAGCATTACATTGCAATCAGATTGGTTTTTAACACTATAAGGTTTTCTTTAACTACTTATTCACTATTAACACTAATACCAATGCATACATTCGTATTGCACATATTATGTTAGCTACTAAGAGATACTTGAAAATTGTAAGATTGCCTTATAAGAGATGATGCTTCACCTATAGTCTCTTTAATTCATCTCTCATTTTGGGACATAATCCACAATAGATTGGATATTAATCTTGTGCACTCCACTATTTTCTTAATCCACATTTTAAATAGTTTCATACCAATAAATGGATGAATTATCACAAAACGTATCATCATACATGTAGAATAATCTATTTTTGCTTTTATTAGTTTTTAAGATCCCTACAAAGACACGTTTATTGCATTTGTTGCACCTAATGTTTTTGAATCTTAATTCATGAAAATTTTGTTGATTGATGGTGTTAGAGAAAGAGATTTCATTGTTGTAGGATGATGTTGACATTGAAAAATGAGGAGGGTTTTTTGTTTTGAAATGCTTGAAATGTTAGTATTTTAAATTGGATGTTGGGTGTTTTGAATTGGATTTTTAATATTGTGTTGAAGTTATATGTTTTGACATGTTAAGGCATTATATACACCAAAACAAACGGTAACATTTCTCGGACGAAATGACTATTTTCCTTATATAATATGCTAATTTTCCAATTTGTCCCTAAAAAAGCTTCGATTTGTTCTTATATTTTAAGTTGTTTTTAATCTATCTTTTTAGTTAAAATTTTCAGTTAAATTAAGTAAAATTAAGCATGTGATTTAATAAAATTATCTATATTATTTAACATAAGTAATTTATATCTACTAATATAAAGATTAATTTATGAAAATTAGTCAAAAATTTTGACCAAAAAGATAAATTAGAAACAAGCTCAAAACATAAGGACATATTGAAGGCTTTAAAAAAAAGATTAAAAAATTGACGTATTATATAAGGATAAGTAAGGGTATTAACCTTATTATTTATCCAATAACCAAAAGATGGACACTTTAAGCAACCTACTTCATTAGGGTATAAGCCCAAGTACAAATTCTATATGCGTATGACAATAGATCCTCTCGCTCTAAAAAGCGAGGATCTATTGTGATAACTACTCGTAAGTCCAACTTTATAGTATCCTAGAAACATTGAATAATCCCTCAAATCTAAATACATAAGATAGCACACATGTTATAGGTACAAACTAGGTTTCTATCGTTGTTATGTTGCGGGTTCAAACAAAACTTATAAAATTTTATTTTAAAAAATAATTTTAATTTGATGGTATGTGTTATATTGTTGGTTACTAAAATATATCAAATAGAAGGTAAAAACAAAACTATTATTTTTTTAAAAAAATGTGTCTAACAAAATATATATTATGTTTTTTTATAAATTTTCTCGCTAAAAAGAATACAATTTATTCTTTTATATCCAGATTTTTAACCGATAACTTGTAATAAAAATTATAAAATTTATGGATTCTTGATCGAAAACTTTTCTTATAGTTTTTTTTCAAAAAAAATATAAGATAAATTATCTAAAAAATACTTCTAATCTTTATATATATATATATATATATATATAACCATGCTACTATCATTTAAGAATTAAAAAAAATATCATATAAATTATATTAATTTTTTTTTAATGAACAAATAACAATATTCTAAAAATTCATTAAAAAATTCATACATTGATTTTTCTCTCCTCTCTCATCTCTCTTCTCTTAGCAATTAGTAATCGGATTACAATATAAATAAAATTACAAATCGAAATAAAAATTATTAAAAAAATGAGAGAAGAAAAAAGAACATAGTAAAACTTTACGTATAGAATGCCTAATAAAACCTCAAAATTAGTAATACGAGTGAACGAGTAATAGGAGCAAAATGAATGCATAAAAAAACTTAAAATAACAAAAATGTTGTAAGTGTGTGAACAATCTAAGAATAATAAAAACCCCACATCTTTTTTTTTTTTAGGTTTCTTTATATATATATATATATTCAGCTAAAATATATCAAAAACTCCTAAGCTTGAAAAAAATTAATTATACCATACACAAATTAAGGATTATTTTTTTCCTATAGGAGACCTAATGGTTTAATAATTCTAAAACCAAAGAGCCTTAGACAGTTGGAATATAGTACTCGCTTAATGAGCAATTTGGATATCGACCATTAAGCAACGACGAACAACTTGCTCGTGGTTAATTTTTTAATTCTTAATATTACTAATTTTTTAATTCTTAATGTTATCGGTTTGATATATTAAATTCTACATTAAAATAAAGACACAAATAATGTAATGTTTATATGTTATAAATTAATTTTTTATGAAAAAGTCAGCGAGTGATTGGAGCATAAATATGCATTGAGAGAAGTTTTCAAAAAACAAAATGCCTCCCCAATAATTTAAAATCTATAGCATTTGATAATCTAATTGTTTCAACAACACCAAAAATTGCACAAATAAAAGAAATAAAAAAACAAGATTTGTTAAACAAACAATAAAAATCGATGAGTATAAAAATTAAGATCTAGATTGAAATCAAAAATCAAAATAAAAGGATTGGAGATTGAGAGCATCAATCCTTCCTTCTCCTTATACAATAATATTAATATAACTAAATTCCATTGTCTCCCGCATTTAAACCCAAGGAATCTACTAATATTAGGATTCAACAATCAAACAAATCATCAAAAAAGCCGATAGTTTTGTATTTGGATATGTTTATAAAATCTAATAACAACTCTAATTTAGTAAAAATAGAAAAAGTTCAACAACCTATAACAAAAAACAAATAATCCCCTATTCATTTTAAAAATCACTAACCTAAGAATCTAGAAAAAAAAAAAAAAAGATATGAGCTTTGTTACTATACATCTCTAACCCTCATAGCAACCATATATAATTTGGCTTTTCGAGTGGGCTAAGATGAGATAACCCTTTGGATTTTAGCACTTTTCTCTCTCGTTTCATCTTAGCCGAGCATGCTACCTTCTCATTGTCATCTCCGACAAACCCAATCGAGCACACTTCCTTTGTCGTGTTCTCCGACAAACCCGGTTGAGCAAGTCGCCCTTTCGCCATCCTCTCTCACAAACCTAGCAAAGCCAATACCCCTCCTCGGTGTCTTCTCTCATGAACCTAACGACCACCAAACCTCCTTAAACCCAACCATGATGCCGCTTACATCCACGGACCCTTCGATTGCCTCCTCACCGTCCTTTCTCATAAACCTAGCATAGCCAACACTCCCCATCGTTGTCTTCTCTCGTAAACCCAAGAACCACCGGACTCACTTGAACCCGACCACGCCATCCTTTATCTCTACGCATTCTTTGATCGGCCTACCCAACATCAATAAATCCTCGGTGACTTTTTCAATATGAAAATAGAGACAAATACAAAGAGAGAGAGATAGAGAGAGAAGTAAGAGTGTTAGACGATTTAGAGAGAATTGAAAAGAAAAATATGAAGAAATCTATGAATTTTTTTAGAGAGAAGCTAAACCGACTCGACTCTTCTTCCTTCAATTATGGAATAAGGAGAGAGAGACAAGGGTTGAAGAAAGAGGTGTGTTGAAAAAAATGATAATGATTTGGGAAATTACAAAAAAAGGCATGAAAATGCCAAGAGAACAAAAAGAAAAGGGAGGGCAAAACTGTAATGATAGGATAACCTAATGGTATAAAAAGTAAACAATGAAAAAATCTAAGGGCAAAAGAAAGGGCTCATGAGGATCAAAAGTCAAAAAGGAAAAAATAAAAGGACTAAACGTTACAAATCAAAGGACGAAATCTACATGCGTGTAGAATATTTAAATCATTTGCAAATCAAAAACTGGAGATCCAACGACTCAAAAAGCGACAGCATGAAGAGCAGGCAGATCAAACGGTGTATAATTATGCTTGAGTCTTGGTCTACAGTATAATGAGTGAGGGTAAATAATTTAGTAATAGTTTTACTCTTACGTATTTTAGAGTCTTTTGTAATTAAGAAAAACCTAATACGGGAACTGAACCCACGTGCAAACAGAATACATACAAGGAGACCCAGCTCCCATAAAATGGTTTGAAAGCTTGGGTCCGGGTTTAGCCCATTTTAACTGTACTCGACCTGATCAATCCTTATCGGACCCAAGGAGAACTCACTTGAGTTCGAGGGATAGCTTTTTCTTTTTTCTCTCGCTCTCTTTTTTCTCAGCAACCAAACACAGACCTGATACAGAGAGAAAGAAAATATGTCAGTATTATTAGTTACAAGTTTAGGTGACATAGTGGTGGATTTATACGCAGACAAGTGCCCGTTAACCTGCAAAAATTTCTTGAAACTTTGCAAGTACGTCCTAATCCCATCATCCAAACTGCTATCTTTTAGCTAATTTTCTGCTATTGTCTTTGTTATTTCTTCATTTAGCCCATTTTAGGGTTTCAAGAATCCAATATTGGGGGCTTGATAAAAATCTGTTTAAGTTATCAACTTTGAGCAAATTCTGTGAGAAGTTTGTATCTTTCTTTGTGTTTTGGATGTAAAGTTTGATCTTTTGATATCTTTGGTTCTGTATTTGTGATGCAGGATTAAGTATTATAATGGTTGCTTATTTCACACAGTTCAGAAGGATTTTACTGCACAGACCGGTGACCTTACTGGTACTGGAGCTGGTGGTGATTCTGTCTATAAGTAAGAGACTTATATGCGTTGACTATATACTTGAATTGTCTAGATTTTATTAATTTTTTTATAGTATAGTTTGGTTTTTTATATGGGGTTTGACTAATTATTATTATTATTATGGTTTTTTGGTACTTAATTAAGTAAATTTGATTTCTCATGTAATGTCATGTGTTTTGGTTATTCCAGATTTCTGTATGGTGATCAGGCTCGATTTTTTAGCGATGAAATTCATCTTGACTTAAAACATTCAAAGACGGGAACTGTTGCAATGGCTAGTGCTGGAGAAAATTTGAATGCATCCCAGGTATATAAGATTTGTTTTCCTTGCTTGATGGTCGACAGGAAGCAATTTAAGTACTTCTTAATTTTTATGTATGTGTTGATTATCCCATTCATGGGCTTATAAAACTGTTCTTGTTTTCAGTTCTATTTCACTTTGCGTGATGATCTGGACTATCTTGACGGGAAGCACACTGTAAGTCTCTCTGTTGGAAGAAGGATATGAATTGCAGCACGGTTGAAGTGTGAAATGTTTGAAATAAAGTGACTTATGAGTTGATAATTGTATCTAAATAAAGAAATTGCATCGTTTGGTTATTTGGTCAGGATGGTTCCTATACCCCTTAAGAGTAACTATCTGGCTTCCATTTTCTATATAGTCACAAAATTATTTCTCTGTTGTAGGTGTTTGGAGAGGTAGCTGAAGGGCTTGAAACTTTAGCGAGGATCAATGAAGCTTATGTGGATGAAAAGAATAGACCTTTTAAAAATATCAGGTTGGTTCTTCTTCGAAATGAACTTGTTATTTACAGTTTGCTTATAATTTCTGTTTAGTAACATGCTAACATGCCCCATTGTCTTTGACCAGAATCAAACACACCTATATACTCGATGATCCTTTTGATGATCCTTCCCAGCTGGCAGAATTGATTCCTGAAGCTTCTCCCGAAGGAAAACCAAAGGATGAGGTAATAGTTGATGCCATTTGATGATATGTGATTTTGAACTTTTAAGAGTATATAATCTCCTCAGAATATTACCATACAAATTAGTCCTTGAGGATTTTTCATCATTACCTAGGATGGTTGTCTGTGTCTCAGAAGAATGGGCAGATCTAGTTTATCTAATGTTTATGCACAGTGTCTAACATTTAGAGAGAAATTTGTCTTTGAACCATGCACCATCAGAGTGATTAGCAGTGGACTTAAAAGCCAAATCCTGGAGTGGGAATTGATGTTGATCTCCTCCAATAACATCGATGTTTAATGTGAAGGAATAGAAGAAAATTGATTACTAATGTGAATACTAAACAAAACAAATACTGGAGTATGGAATTTAAAGCAAAATAAAAAGAAGAAATAGAACGATAGACCTAGAAAGACATGAAGACAAGGAAAGAGTAATATCAACTCAGACAGAGAAATACTTTTAACCTGATGATTCTGTATTAAAAAAATATAAAGTAACTTCACCCAAATCATGTCAGAATCTGTGTTCTTTGTTTTTTGTTATTTTCAATTCTTTTGGTTTAAACGATAATTTTGCTTGTCTCACCGGATTCCTGTCTTAACATGAAGGAGTATGGAATTTAAAGCAAAATAAAAAGAAGAAATAGAATGATAGACCTAAAAAGACATGAAGACAAGGAAAGAGTAATATCAACTCAGACAGAGAAATACTTTTAACCTGATGATTCTGTATTAAAAAAATATAAAGTGACTTCACCCAAATCATGTCAGAATCTGTGTTCTTTGTTTTATGTTATTTTCAATTCTTTTGGTTTAAACGATAATTTTGCTTGTCTCACTGGATTCCTGTCTTAACATGCATATTATAATAACTAGGTTGATGATGAGGTGCGGCTTGAAGATGATTGGGTGCCCATGGATGAGCAATTAGGTGCAGCGGAGATTGAAGAGGTTCTTCGATCGAAGGAAGCACATTCTAGTGCAGTTGTGCTTGAGAGTGTAAGCACCTATACAAACAATGATCCAAGTGTTCAAATTTCGTCTGCATAGTTATTCTTTTTCTCTTGTACGACAGATTGGGGATATTCCTGAAGCTGAGATAAAGCCTCCAGATAATGTCCTATTTGTGTGTAAACTAAATCCAGTCACTGAGGTGAGTCTTCTGTTTTCCTAGGGATGTATACGAGTAAGCTTTTATTTTTATTTTTTTCTTACTGCAGTTTTCATTGTAAAGTCCTGTTGAATTGCTCTGATTTCTTGGTGCAGGATGAGGACTTGCATACAATCTTTTCACGCTTTGGAACTGTTATATCGTGAGAAACTGAATCCCTTTTCTAAAAACAATTATCTTTTTAGGCTTTTGTTTTAAGATGAAAATTGAATTCTCATAATGGGAACTATGGCAGGGCTGATATAATTCGTGATTATAAGACTGGAGACAGCTTGTGTTATGCATTTATAGGTGAGTGGAATCTTGTCATCTGCACATTCTACTAGATTTATTCATTTTATGTGTTGGTGGGTGTGCCCTCATAGATAGATCATCTTGCTAGGGAATACGTATTCTTTTACTTGTGGTACATGAGGCATTAAGACTTCAGGACCTATGTTTCGTGTGTATCCCTGATGTTTCCTGCCTTCTTACTTGGATCACATGCACAATTTCAAAATTGATTTTAAAATTCATTGTTATAGGGCTGCATTATGACTTCAAAACTGATTTTAAAATTCATTGTTATAGGGCTGCATTATGACTTCAAAACTGACATGTTCCTGCTGTAAAATATTCTTTCACATGTAGGACATTGTCTGTATATTAGCGGTTTAAGAGAAGTTGGGATTACTTCAGATAGTCAGCTACCCTAGTTTTTTACTTAAATCTTTAAAAAATGCAACCTTAAGGCTAAAATGGAGAAAGATGACAAATAAAAGTATCAAGTATTTTCAGACTGATCCTATCCTATTGATAATTTAATTTCGTGGTTCTTTTTGTGCTAATCCATTCTCAGTTAACTATGAGAATTTTACTGGCCTAAGTTCATATCTTGGAGCTATTTTCTAGGTTCCATGGCAAGTTTACCATAGGTTATTTAGTACTTGGATGAGCCAAAAGTTGTATGCAGATGGGGAGAATTTTAAGGATTGAGGATATGTGGGCTTTGTAATAGCTAATGTCTTGTCCTGAAGACTAATATGCCACACTAACAGTATATCCAATTAAATTGAAATGTTCAAAGTAGTATGAAAATAATGTCCAGAGTAATTTCTTCATGCTGGAGAATGCTAGCAACGATTATCGATATCCCCATATTTGAGATGATCTATTGCTCTATGATGGAATGGATCACTTATCATCAACATTAACTCTTGTCTCTTCTTTGTCCCAATCTATATGTGTATTTGTTGCATGTGTTAAAGGCTTCTTCCGTTTCTGTTGATCCGTAGTGATCAAATTTTATGTGGTCTTTGTATTTGTATCTTGTTTTTGGCATGTTAAGATATGTTCCTCTAATTTTTAGTTGGTGATTACATATGTATTTTATTTATTTATTTATTGTCAATCCAGAGTTTGAGACCAGAGAGGCATGCGAGCAAGCATATTTTAAGGTATTGGAAGGACTGAGAAAATCTTCTTTTTTTTTTTTTTTGTGAAATAACTTGATTTGTATGCTTCTTTCAGCATATCTGATTGCTCTGAAGTGCTTGTTTCAATAAGTCCATAGTTCCTAGGGTATCAACTAGATGCATCATGAGGTATTTTTGTATTCCAATTGAAATTTATATTTAATTGTTTCATGGCAGATGGATAATGCTTTGATTGATGATAGAAGGATTCATGTGGATTTTAGTCAAAGTGTTGCCAAACTATGGTCTCAATACAGGCGCAAAGACAACCAACTGGATAAAGGTAAAGTTTGCGATGTGATTAATATTTCATTTATATACACATATGTTGAGGGGAAAAAGGAACTTCATAATGAATAAAACCTTGAGTGCAAAAGAACTGAATGGGCATAAAGCGAGCAGCCCCTTTTCAGATAAGGAAGATAAGGGAATGGATTGTAAATGTAATGCCTAATGAGCTAGAAACAACCAATTACTCTCTAGGAATTCTGCCAAATATAAACTCTCTCTCAGAAGCCCTATCATTGATGGTCAAATAAGCAGAGGCTTAAAACATAATTGTTGTTTTTATTTTCTTTTTTATTGACAGCGGGAAGAGGTTGCTTCAAATGTGGTGCTCTTGATCATATGGCCAAGGATTGCACTGGGGATCCTGCCAACAAACATCAGCCTTCAAAATACATACTAAAGGACGATCATATGCAGCGTGGTGGAGATAATAATTCAAGGTTAATAATAATCTTTCATTTTCCTCTTTTCCTTCATCTGTATATTTTTGTCTAACAGGAAACAAACTGTTGCAGATATGAAATGGTATTTGATGGCGACACTCCAGAAAGTCCAAGGCCGGAAAAGAGACGTGGACACCATGATCCAGATTACCAAATTGACAGACAAAAGAAAGATGGAAACGAGAGGTACAGGAAGAGTGACAGGGATAGAGGACACAAAGGGAACAAATGGTATCCTGAAAGTAAAGGAAGTCGATATTCTGACAGGGGGATTGATAGAGAAAAGCATATGGATAGAAGAAAAGACCGAAGTAATGAAAGAAGAGATGATCGAGATTACAGAAAGAGAAGTTCAGATAGTCAGAGAGATTATGATAGCCATAAAGACGATCGAGATTACAGAAAGAGAAGTTCAGATGGTCATAGAGATCATGATAACCATAAGGGCAAGAGGGATGAGCGAGAACATAGACGTTGACGTTCAGAAAGTGACGATCATGATTATGATCGAGACAGGAGGAACCGAGATGACGAAAGGAGACAAGCTCAAATATGACATGCAGTACTATTTTGGCATTGGTTTTGTTGTTCTTGTTTCTGAATATTGTGGAGCTCAGTTAAAACATGCAACCCTCAAAATTTAACTTCCACGCTAAATACATTTGAGTCTCTTTTCCTGCCTGAAACGCAAGGCTCAATGGATGTTGTGCATTTAGTTTGGGCAGCTATAGTCTCCCTTTTTTGCTCGTACAAACGTCCTTTTTTGGGTGAGAAATCTAACTTGTTCATCCCTTTTCTACAGGGCCACCAGACATTCCCTTCAATTGTAATACCTTTTTACTGACACTGGATCATGGTAGCAGTTGAGAGTTCTTGTGGGTTTATTGTATTGTCGCAACTAGTAACCGATAGCCTTCAGCAAGAGCGTCAGGTTAAATGGCGTGGAGGGTTTCTTTCTGTCCAAGGAAACATTGTTGATTTTTTTGTCGAAATATAAAGTTCCCATGTTTGATTCAGTTAAATTAAACCAGAGGACCAAATGAACGTGAAGGAAAATAGAGGGAAAAACGGGGGAAAAAATGTACAGAGTTAACCATCATTGAAAATGTAAATGAATTCTATGAAGCTTGTAATCGAAAACCATTGTGATTACTAGATTATCATCATAATCGTTATTGCACATGAATAATGATCCCAAGTATTCTACAAGGAGATCAAAGGGTAAGCACATGCCACTGCCAATCAATTAATATCCAAAACCCCGCTTCCATTCTTATAAATTATGTGGAAGGGTTTAATCCAACCCTCAACTAAAAGATTGCTCCTAAAGGGCTTAGACCTCAATAGAATCATCCTTTCAGAACAGGATCCACTAACAACTGACATATTGCTTCGACTAACTGCAAAGGAAATACAAGGCGATTATGATCTTTCAAACAGTTAGCAGCTTCCGAGACAGGTTGACACCAAGATGCTCCAGCAAACAGTAACACCTCAGGCATGATTTTCTGGGACATGCCTTTTATGATCTCTCTCCATATAACCAAGCCGGTTCATCCTATTTCGATCATCTGCATAATCATGATGATTATAATGGTGAGACCCAGGCACATTATCATTCCGATGCTTCCCCTCAAACTTCCTGTCAGGAGGGCTTGATGCCTTACGTTTGCGGTTGCTTGACTTCGGTGAGGGAAAACCCTGGTCCAAATCATCAGGAGCTGACAGTTCCCCATCTTCAATGTTGTTCAGATCTGGTTTTTGAGATAACTGGCCTCTCGTTCCATGATGCTGTTCATCCCTTGCATCCATATTCTTACCATGATGCAAGTTCTCATATTCTTCCCTGTCCAAGGGCTTGGACCAGCTTTGTCTCCTATCACGCTTGTTTTTTTCACTTTCAGCAGCCAGTACAATTCCATCTTCCAGTTCCCTCTCGATGAGATCATCCTCATCCAAGAAGTCAGTTTTTCGAGTTATGTCACCACGAGACTTTTTTCTTTTCTCCAAAGCTGCCTTCAGTTTGTCTTTATCAATCTTTTTAATAGCATCTTGGGGTGATTGACCTAACATACTCTCTCTATGCTCCACAATTCGACCAAAATGTTTATCTTTTGATTCTCCTGGATCTTTTATTTCACTTCTTCCAACATTCCTTTCTCGATCTTCATTTCCAAACCCATCCGAGGCTCGCCTCGAGGTCTGGCCTTCCCTCATATTATCCTGGGAAGGCAAGGTCTCTATTTCATAGGGCAGATCATCTTTAGGTTCACCATCCATATTATGGTCTGAGGCACTTCTCATCTCTGCATTTCCATGATCATTACCTTGATTTTGGTTGGTTCTTGGAGGGCCAACATGATTATCTGCAAGAGGTTGCTCATGCACTGGTCTAGTCATTGGCTTTGAGTTTCCAGGTCTTGAACTAATACCTCCAGTCTGAGAGTGACTATTAGGTGCCACATGTTCTTCAGTGCCAGATGAAGCTTTTGATGTGGCCCGATGAGAAGCTCCACCTACAATGCTCCCTTCAGCTTCACTGTTAGCTGAAGGGGGCAATCGGTTCTGTTCATACAGTTCCAGCATCTGATTGCTTACCTCTGCAAGAATCAATTCCACAATTAAAGATGAAATCCACCAAATTCAAGAGTGCTATTGTAATAGCAAACATTGTCACAGGATTATGTGTTATCTATTTACATGGGGCAGTTCTCCCACTCAACCCCCACCCCCCAGCCAGCTTCATTCCCCCAAGATGACGAATTGTGTGAGAAAGACAGTGCTCTCATGAACACCATGTAATTATTAATGAAAACAATATATATATATATATATATATATATGATTGTAAGGAAAAGGCAAAGCACCAACCCTCCAATTGGCGTGGGGTGACATCAAACTCTTGCCACCAGACCTTCTCGCCATCTGATGGGAGCTTTACTTTGAGGAACTTTGCAGCAAGAAAAATGGCACCTGCCGCAATGTGGTGGGGCTTAAATTGCAGGCAAAGAGATGTACGCAGTCTGCATGCGGCATCCCCCCAATCAAGAAGAGACAATGAAGAAAGGTACATAACTTAAAATAAGCAGTTTTCCATACCCATCATTCACAAAATTCCATGCAACTTGAGCAAGGGCATTTTGAGCAACCTTAAATTTCTTTATAGCATCAACAAGAGGTTTATATGGATGGAGCAAATTTAAATCAAAACCAAGCGTTGCAAGTACAACCCTCTCTCCAAGTAAAATTATTTCCTTCTGCTGTTCATATACCTCCTGCATGGGAAAAATAGATAGTGAGTTAAGAGCAAGAAAAAGAATTAAGCAGAAAAAAAAAGGACTGGAACAGAACAAAGGCAGCGTGTAAATGACAACTGAATATGATATGGATATACAAAAAGTAAAAAGAAAAAAATAATAAATAAATAAATTTGCTAGACATTGAGCATTGAAACACTCAAAAGATAAAATAAAACAAAAAAGTGTTGCAGATTGTAATCTGTATGGTCCAAGGGATTGGCGAAAAGACAATACCGTTTGGCATCTTGAGCAAAGTTCAGACACAACACACTTGGCTTTAGCTAAACTTGTGAGGTGGAGTGGATTAACTAAATCATAGTCATATCTAACAAATCAAGTGAGGAGAGGAGTGGTGGGAGGGAAGCCAAATCTCATCCCAGTGATGAATTGAGAAATACCCAAGTAACAGAAGAAGTGGAAAACATCCTTGCCCAATCAAAACATGGAGATAAAATATACCTTTTGCTTGATCCTCTGAACTGCTTCAGGATCTTTTTTATGTATAATTTCATAAGAAACGAGAATAACATCTTTCAGCGGACGAGGAGTCTCCTCCACCTTCCCCGCAAGAAACATACAAACTGTAGCAATAGTCTGCGAGACATTTTGAGTGAAATTAGACAAGATGGTCATTTAAGATTCAGATAACAGATACTATCTCAGCAAAGCACCAAAGTGAAGAAGAGAAAAGGAAGAAAAAATTGCACTGGCTATCATATCTGCTACATGTCATCCTAGATATGTATTAAATAATCATTTCCAAGAAGGAGAAAAGGATATTTGACATTTATTAAGGGATGTTGACTCACCCTCCTATCATTCTTCGCATGGGATTGACGAAGAAAGAATCGGTGACAGAAAATTATTGCAGTAGCAATTGTTACCTGGGGCCTGCATTTTGAGAAATACAGGATTATATCACACATAATTACATAGAATCGTGTACATTCAATATCAATGCAACAACAATAAATCACATCAGCTCCCCTTAAATGTTTATTTAGTGTAAACAGAAGAACCAAAGCTCCTTTTAAAACTCTACCTTCTCTGTCTCACCATCTCTTTTTCTTGTTTGAATTCTTTCTTACACTTTCTCCAAAAACTCTACACATTCAAGATTACTAAGCCCTGTATACTACTATCTAAAAAAAAAGAGAGAAAGAGAGAGAGACAAGAGCATATAAACTAAAGAGGACGGAGTCCAACTATATAGAGTGTGCTTAAACACTTAGCAACCAAAGAGGACGGGAAATTATTCTTAACTTGAACATATAAACTAAATTTCAATCCAATCATATAATACCAATTGAAAATACAGACATTAAGCATTTAGTTCAAACTAAAGAACATGTGTAAAGACTCACACTTTAAGTCTCATGCCCAAATCTTGTAGAAACGTACAGTATGACTTGCGTAGATAAGCCTCTTTCTTTAAGTCAATACCATCTTGTTTAGACGGAGAATTCTCTTCAATTTCCTTTCTACATAAGTACCAACGACCAACTTCCTCAAGTTTTTCCTGAGAAAATCTATACGGTCCACCATCCTTCATTCCAGAATGAGATGACTCGCCAGCCATTAAATTTGCCATATGTGTTAGCGACCACCAAATGTTATGAACAGTCTATAAAGGCCCAAATATGAACTGAGAATGAGCCACCAGGTAATAGCACCCTGCAAACAGATTCCCAATACAAATCAAAAACCAAATAGCTTATCAAAGCATCCTCTTTTAGTAGAATTAAAAAAGAACTATAAATTGAAAAGTTGAATCTAGAAAAAAAAGTTCAAAAGTTTATCAATACTATAAACTTTAAGCTTCAATTTCAACCCAAAAATTTTCCAAACAAATTGCAGTTATTGGAAGTTAAATCCCTGCTAAGCTTTAAGAACTCTCTCATTCAATCAAAAGGTCAACCATTCCACAGGATAAATTATAAAGCGAATCATAAACCCGGACCAATTAAGATTATAGAGCTTTCTGGCAAGTCGCAACATACAAACTGAAGTATTGGTAGGAAAATTGTAGCCAAGGACATAAATTCAACAAACTCCAAAACAAAAAAGCCAGATTCCTAATCAAGAACCAATTCAAAAAACAGAAATTTAAAGAAAAAGCAGTGTCTTCTTTAAAAGCCCAGAATATGAACACTAAAACAAAAAAATAAAAAATAAAAACTGACCCATATGATATCTTCCGAATCTTTCACAAAAAGGAAGTTACTTTCAATCAAACAAAGAAAAACCCAGATGCCATGTCCAATTTAAAAGAAAAAATTGAAGAATTTTACCTTGTATAGTCACGAGAGCAGAACAAAAGAAAAAAGAAAACTACTGAGTTTCTCTGCAATAACCAAGAAAACGAGATAAATAATAAACCAAAAACATGTTTGTCTGACCAAATAATAGAGAAGGAAAGAGGATATTACCTCACAAAGAAGAGAAGAAGAAGGTGAGTAAAGAGAAGGGGAGTTTGTAGAAAATATTAGGGTTTATAAATGAGGAAAAAATGAAAGGGGGATAAAAGATTTTGCGATTCTACTGTGCTATGGCCAATTGTTTTATTTGTTTTTTTAATTATTGAGTTTGTTATGTTTTATTTTATTTTAATCATTTTTTTTAATGGTCAGCAATCCCTCCTTAATTTTATTGTTTGGCTTACACCTTTAATCTCTCCCTCTTGCTAACCATTAGAGAATAAAGAATTTAACTTGAATTTTTAATATCATTAGACTTTTTTTTTCTAAAATCAAAATCAAAATTATAGTTTTTTTTAAAAAAAAATTTATAATGATAAATTTATCAACACATTTTTATTAATTTAAAAGGTGTGAGTTATATGATCCTAAATCTCATATAAAATCAATCAATCATATATAGATATAGATTATTTAATTTTAAATTCCATACATGAGACCAATCAATCAAATATTTCTCAAAATTTAGATTACTTTAAATAAATAAATAAAATTCTTCTTTATGTTTATCACTATTCTTTATTTATATAACAAAATCTTAAATTATAGTATTTCTTGTGAGTTGGGAATGTGATCATAAAAAAAAAAAAATTCTATCTATTTCCAGAAATACACAAAAATTAAAATTTATTCATATGATATATTCATTAACTTCAAAAAATAATCTGCAGAAAGGAACTCATCCACACTTTTTTTTTTTAATAGATATTCCACAAGTTATTCATAAATTCAGGTTGTTCCACCTTATTGTTGGTTATTATATGGCAACCACTTTGTTGTTATGGGGGCAAAAAGCAACCCTATTTCGACCCTTTTATAGTCTTCACAAAATTAAAACTCCTAAGCCACTTTTATATCTTAGACAGACCTATATATATATAATCTCCGCCCAATGGATCGAAATCTTGCTTAAATAAGGCACAAGTTCTTTTTCTAAAAGTGATACAATCCCGTGTTACCACCTTCTTTGTTTATAGAAATAATGTACAAGTAGCTTAAAAAAGAGTTGTCAAGTGAATTTAGTCTACCGCATCACTCGAAAGACTTGTGTTCATTATATGGAATGCATTCATTATATGTCTTATGTTCATTTGTGTAGTCTATAGGTTATTATATGAGTTTGCCTAACAAGGTCTCTAAGCAAAAGAACGATCAAGCAACGAGCAATTATGGCATCGAAGAAGCTTTCTTTTAGCAAGAACATGCACGGAATAAATAGTGGAATCATTTTAGATAAATATAAGTGGTCATTCAACGTTCATCATTTTTTGAGTGGAATCATTCACACTAACCAATTAATTCATGGAAACAAACTTCGACTTCAAAGTCTTTGATCGCTAGTCAAAACCGAAGGTTTTTACTCCAAGATAACATGATATTGATCAAAACTAAGCATTTTCCGAAACTGACTTACATAACAGAATACATGCTTTATGATTATGATACATAAACAAATGATGAATATTGTAGAAATATCTTGTATTATTAAACTGTTTTAATTAGAAATCATTCTATTTAGGAAGTAGATCGTTAGTCTTTTACGTATTTGGAGTTAATTTTCCACGTACTAACTCGGTTATATAATTTAGGGATTTTATATGAATCTTTCCTCGTGAAGCGAGATGAAACTTTTCTTCTCTCGTTTATAAATATGTAGTTTTTTTACCTTAATGTATAATGAAAAAAAATACTTTCTCTCATAGAAAGTATCATGGTATCGAGTCTAATTATCCTATTTGATTGTTTGTTGTCTAGCCCATTGTTTTTTGTTTATTCCTCAAATCTTTGTCCTTGTGTTTTGTGTTTTGAAGCCACCACACAATGAGTCCAAGAAAGGAGACCTCAAGCATGTCTTCGTCTACCACATCCGAACTCACTCAATCACCAATGGTTTCACTGGTCCTTCGAAGGATCATCACTACAAATCACCAACCATAGGTTAGATGGTAAGATTTTTCTTCAATGGTCCCAATTAGTTCTCTTGGTTATCCGAGAGAGAGAGAGAGAGAGAAATTGGGATACATTACTCGGAGATACTCGGCGACCTCATATAACGGATCCAACCATGCTAACCGGAACTCAACAACTCATTAGTCATGGTATGACTAATCAACCGAATCGAACCTCACATCGCTCACACTTCCCTATTTCTCCGTACTACTAAAGCAATTTGAGATGTTATTAATGTGAACTACTCCAGCCTTGAAAATGCATCTCAAGTCTTTGAGATTAAAACTCAACTAAAGGAAATATGACAAGGTAGTATGGATGTAACCGAGTATTATAATGAGTTACAAATACTTTGGTGACAACTCGGATATGCATATTATAAAGTAAATTGGGGAGACCTTAAAAGCAATCTAAAATTTAAAAGGCATTTAGAGAAGGAAAGACTCGTATGAGTTCTTGATTGGCCTCACATGAGAGCTTGATGAGGTACGAGGAAGGATACCGGGGCATAGACCACTACCATCTATTGATGAAGCATTTGCATAAGACAAAAAGCTAGTAGGAGACGTGATATGATTGAAGGAAAAAAGGACTCCTTGTCTGTCTTGGCTAGGGAAAGGTCTATCGATAGAACAGTTCTTACTATATGCAATTACTATGATAGACTTAGTGGAGACCAAAAAAAAAAAATCAACAAGAGGGACGTCTTTGGTGCAACCATCGTAACATAACCGATCATATCCGTGATACCTATTAGGATATCCACGAAAAACCAATGAATTAGAAGTCTCGAGGAACAAATAAAAAAGATTTTCAAGTAATAATGGAGGAGGAAACTAAGGAAACTTGTACTAGCAACAAGTAAATGGGGTATTTCTAAGCAAGCCTCAATTGGAATAGTTGCGTAAATTGTTGAGTCAATCAACGATGGGTGATACAACTATTAATAGTTCAACCCATAAAGGTACAACTCTTTATGCTCAAAATACAAATACCTCGAATGCTTGATTCTCGAGCATTTGACCATATGATAGATAAGCCATCTCTCGTTTTATTCTCATACTCCTTATCATGAGAATTTCAAAGTTAAAGTATCAAATGGTACTCTTTCTCTTGTTATTGAAAAAGATTTAATTCATCTCTCAAACAAGATTTCTTTGAGTTTTGTTTTTTATGTATCAAATCTTGCTAGTAACTTGATCTTTATCATCAAGATTACTCATGAGCTTAACAATATTATTTTTTTTACAACTTTTGTATACCACAAGACTTGGAATCGAGGAGGATGATTGGCGATGCTAGAGAAAAAAGTGGACTCTACTATTTTGGGAATGACAAACATGTGGCTAAGCAAGCAATTTTGGTTAAGAGTAACTCTACTACTCGCTTCCAATAATAATACAATAATTTTATGGCATCGTAGGTAAGGACACCCAACTTTCATTATCTCAAATATCTATTTCCAAGTTTATTTATCAATAAAAATCGTAGTTCTTTGAATTGTGAAATTTGTCATCTTGCTAAGCATACTTATACATCATTCCCGAATCCAACCATACCAAAAGTCTCGTCTTTTTTTCTTAATTCATGACATATGGGGACTCTCTAATAAAAAAATCTCGAGAACACAGCTTGTTCATCACTTTTATCGATGACTACACTCAAGTTTGTTAAGTTTATCTAATTAAAGAAAACTACGAGGCTACAAAAGCATTTCAAACTTTCTATTTAATGATAAAACCTCAATTTTACACCTCTATCCAAACATTAAGAACCGAAAATGAAAAATAATTTTTTAATATAATTCTTGAAAATTATCTTGAAACTAATGGAATAATTCATCAAAGTTCATGTCCGGACACACCTCAACGAAAGGTGCGGTAAAAAGGAAAAATTATCACCTCTTTGAAGTTACTAGAGCCTTAATGTTTACCATGCAAATCCTAAAATATCTATAGGGGAGCCGTTCTAATGACCTTTTACCTCATAAATTAAATGCGCTCTCGAGTTTTTAAATTTAACTCTCTTTTATTAACTTTTATAACAACTTACCCAACCTTTCATTCTATTTCTTCCATTCCACTTAATACATTAGGTTGTACTACTTTTGTACATGTCTAAAGCTATTCTAAACTTGATCCAAAATCAATCAAATATGCCTTTA